AACGCCATACCTCATCTCCGCGAAGGCCAGCGAACGCCCTCATCTCCGATTTCTGTCCGTTGAGGGGGGGTTTTGTAAATCCTCCCCCAATTGGGAGCTCCCAAGCGCTCCACAAATTTGTGGAGCGCTTGGGAGCTCCGAAGCTCTCCACCTCCACGTCAGTGCTTGGGAGCTTGCTGGGAGCGCTTCGGAGGCTGTTGGAGGGGGTTAAATCGGAGAGCTTGGCCACGTCGGAGCTGAGAGCGGGCTTGGGAGCTTGCTGCCCATGCTATTACTAATAGGAATTGGGATTAAGGATGTGAATTTCGTAGGATTGGGATATTAAATTTCATTTTGGTTAACTTATTTTGATTCATGATGATATTAAAACTTTATAAAATTACTAAATTCTCCTCCCTCCTTGTCTCCCTTAATAGTATAGTATATTAGTAATATGTTAACCTAAAACATCCCGTAATAATTAAAATTATTAAAATTATAAATAACACTCTTTTAAAAAATATAAAAAACAATAAGACTTCCAGAAATTACATTTTACCCCCTGAATTTTTGCAATTTATCCAGGCAATTTATAGTTTATCCCTAAAAATTTTAGAATTTGCATTTTACCTCCAGAAAAATTGTAGTTTGCCCCCAAAATTGTAGTTTACCTCTCCTAGAGTTTCAAAATTTGTAGTTTACCCCAAAAGTTTTAGAATTTGCATTTTAGCCCCACAACATTACTATGTACCTCTAAAGTTTCAAAAAGTATAGTTTACCCCTCAAAAAATTGCATTTTACCCCTTAAAAGTTTCAAAATTTGTAGTTCACCCCAAAAGTTGAAATTTACCCCCTAAAAGTTTGTTGATTTTCAGTTTACCCCTAAGGAACTGCTGTTAATCCACTGAAATTTTTAAAAATCATAGTTTACCCCTCTAATTTAACATACACTATTTGTAAGGAAAGTCCCATGACGCAAATATTTTTTTCTTTTTTTATTGCCAATCTCACCTATATGGCTATATGCTAGTCCTAAAAGTACAAAATGTGTAACTTGATTGAAGTCCTGAAACATTAAAATCCTAGTCCTAATCCAACGGGCAACCAAACGCGAAGTAACTATTTGGATGTAGAATTTGCATTATAAAATTATGGAGTCTTTTGAAAATCAAAAGATAGCAAAACTTCGCAACTTGAAAGGTCTCAAGCATTTGTGTTTTGAGACGGGTAACTTGGAGAGAGCTTTGAAGTAGTTTTAATTTGTTTTCGAAGGAAGTGATTTATGAGTCCCATTAATAGTTCAAATAAAGTATATAATAATATCAAGAAATTGTATTATTCTAAAATAAATAGGCAAAATCTTAAATGTTTTGTTCTTTATACTCTTTGAATTTTAACATTATTTAAAATTTCAAGATCTTATAAATTCCTTTGCTTTCGCCAAATTTCTGATACAAAAATCGTGGTATAACATCAAATTTATTCACTCTCAAATTCCATCAAACCAAATAGATAATATATATTTTCTTACAATATTTCTTAGGATTTACTCTATTTAAAGCCTATCCTAATCATATTTTTAAACAAAATTATGATGCAGTGAAATTTGACAAACATTAAAGATTGAAAAGCTCTAAAATAGTGAGTGTCTGATAAAATATTGAGGAAGTTCTTACTTCTTACTCTTGCATAACAAAATATGTTAAAATACAACTTTTAAAAACTTTAGGCTATGTAAGCGCTACCAAAAACAAGTGAGGATATATAAATGCGAAGTAGGGGGAGTTATAAGGTAGTTTTAGGTGCTATTTACCTAAGCAAGTAAATATCCCAATGTTAGGGGATAATATGAAATTAATCCAATACGAGCGCTTAGGCAATAAAACCCCTGGATTTATTCCCAACTTCCTGAACTGAACTCGCGACTCCCATTCAAGAATCAAATCGACTTGGGCTCCGAATCTTCTCCCCAATTTAAGCCCTCATCTCCAATCAGAGCAGCCCAAAACCCTAATCCCAAGAACCCCCACTACAAAATTAACTCATGAACGCTCTCTCCAACGTCTTCTCCATCCTCAACTTGGACGCTGAAGACGACAAGGATCAGATCGCTGCGGCCTCCGATGCCAAAGATGAAGGTAATCAACCGCTTGATTTCAAAGGATTTTGAGGTTTGTGGTAATTTTATGAAGAACCCATGATGCGATTTGGGTCTGATTGCAGAGAGAAAGAAGAAAAATGGCGGTGTTTCGGCGAAAGGGGCAAACCCTAGAGTGGGGAAATTGGAGCAGGGGATGGCTGATTCAGTTCCTGGGGAGTATAAGCATCCTCTTGTTTGGATTGACTTAGAGATGACTGGTGAGAAATTTTTTGAACTTTTTTACGCCATTATTGCATATATTATATGTTAGGGAGCTAAGCAGATTGACCTCTAAAACGGAACCCAAATCTCTAAAAATTCACACTTGACATTGTGCTTATGTAGCATGATCTTGAAAGTTATTTCAAGAAACAAGAAATTCAATTATGTTAGCGATTTCATGAATTATGATTAGGAGGGATCTATTCGGTAACGCGACGCCGTTGCTTGTAAGCTATTATGCAAATGCGTGTTTAACTAGTTTATTTGCTTGGTTTGGATCTTCTTGAAGGGTAAAATGTAGATTAATTCTGGAAGTTACTCCTAGAAAAAAATTGCAATTATGTGGTGAGCTAGACACTAAAGATGTGCACGATATAAGGGAAGTTTAGTGGGCACATGTAGGTTGTGTTGGTCCAGGATTTGTTAAGACTCCACAATGCTGGTCCACAATTTGTTGAGACTCCACAATTTACAGAGAAGTTTATATTGCAGACTAGTTTGTATGGAGGATGCAAAAAGTTCTCATGCTATGATTTTGCTATCCAAGGTGTCTGTTTGCGCAGTCAATTTTCGGAAAATATACACACAAATATCATCTTGAAGTCCATAGTGTTTAATGAAACCTGGATTATGAAAATACTTGTAAGAGTAGGTTTTTAGCTGTGAAGCATGAAGAGTTCATTATGATGCCGTTATTAGGTGTTATATGTTGGAGACACATCTTGATCTCAAACTCTGTCATTGTTGTTTATTTGTGTGAGTTCAAATTTTTTTTCGTGCGAGGTACCTTGTCATGCCTGTATCAAGGTGTGTATGTTTTCTAGGATGTCAATGAACCCGTGAGTTAAAGAATTTTGGAGGTTAAAACAGAACCTTGAACAGTTTAACTCTGTCCAGACAATTAAAACTCTCCAATTTAACGGTGTACCTGATTAGGCTCGATTGATAGACTTCCAACTTCCAAGACGTGATTTGTATCAAAGTTGGCAACCTGTATCATAGTTTCATGAGCTAAGTGCAAACTAGTTCTAGCTTCCATCTTTTGAAGTTTTGGCCTAGGATGTTACTAAATTTGAATGGAGATATATGCTGCAGCTAGTTTATTTGTATGCATGACTGCCTCTGATTATCAATTTTGAGATGTATGGTGACTGATTATAATTATAAATTAATAAGTTTTTTTATTCAATGGGCGCGTCTCTGAGTTATGGAGATAAGGGTGTCTTCAGTTATAAGAAAGCAGTTATAAGTGATGGTATATCATTCCCTTTTACCTTCCAGAACCTGGTTATTTCTAGGTATACGTCTTGTTACTAACCTAAATATGGTCAGATTTATTATTTCATAAGTAATATTCTCTAATATTCCTTATTTCTAGAAAGTTCTTCTGTACTTTTAAGTAGTCAAGTAATGTATTTTGGTTTGTTAATGGTAGGAATTTTTTAAACAGTATATATAACTAAAAAAGGCATTTTCATAATCCATCAAACCAACCAAACTCATAATTGTAGGCATCGAAAATTACCTATAGGTCTCCACGAACAGCTTAGTGTTAAGGAACGACGATGAACGTCACTATCCGGTTCACAGGAGTTCGATTGATGTCGGTGAACGCTTGAAGTGAATCGACGAACTATGTGGACTAACAGAATTTCGGAATAACGAAGGTACGGGTTAATCGGGAGCCCCACGATGTTTACAAAAAAAAGAACAATACCCTTCGTGTCGCATTCATTCTACAGATGATCCAACCATTGGAGCTGATAGAACTCCTTGTCGGCTTTCCAACGCACTTCGAACCACTCAAATCCGAGTTCGGACGAGGAAGTTACGGCGGAAACGAACAAACATACAAAAAAAGCGGCGTCTCAACACTTCGAGGTGTCTCGGCCAAGCGAGACACCCCAAGGTGTCTCGGCCAAGGCCGAGACACCCTAGGCCGAGACACCCTAGGGTGTCTCGGCCAAGGCCCAGACACCCAAGGGTGTCTCGGCCCAAACCGAGACACCCTAGGGTGTCTCGGATCAAGGGGAGACACCCTAGGGTGTCTCGGATCAAATGGAGACACCCTGGGGTGTCTCCAATGTAGATTTGGGCCTTTAGGTGGTTTTAACCGCTCCAAACTCCCCCGGGCCTATAAATACAAGTCTCAGGCCCTCATTTTTCAAGATATGGAATTTTGGAGATTAGGCGAAGTTCTGCCGGATTGAAGACTGAAGGTGCACGAATTTCAGAGAGGAGGAGGAGAGGTCGGATCTAGTTCTTCAACGCAAGAGAGAGAGATTCGTCAGATCTACAATTTCTCGGATCCGTTCCTTAAGATTATCCCGTTGCGGTAATCTTAAGAAGAGTGATTATCTCGCTTCGCCGAGATAAGAGCTACAGTTTTCTCGATCCCTTTGCGGATAGACGAAGCTCTGCCCAATTTTTCAGCAATCAGATGTGATCGACGGTGGTCCACGGATAAACCCCGGCACAGGCAAAGACACCCACGCAAGCAGAAGATCGATAAACGATCTCCCTGCGTTTGTTTGACAAAGTTGTAAACTTGTTTTATTTTCATTGTGTAAGGAGATCTTATAAAAAGATTAACTTTTTATTTTATTCGAGTTTATTGTAATGACTAAAGTTGTAATAGATTCGATAGCAATGAAGACAGTAACTTTCACCGCAAACAAACTGACGACCACAGTGGGAGCCAACAACTTCGCTGCCGAAGCTGTCGTGCCGCAGCTGATGATCAAGATCCCAGTGCTCGAAGAGGTCGAATACGAGTTCGACCAGCAGAAGTTCGAGGAGTATGTCTCCTCCTCCTCCAGATCTGCCTCTCCTTGCAGGTGCATGGAGGCCTCCTCCAGAAAGATCCGCTGGTCTTCAGATCTGAAGACCCAAGAAGACGATCTCTCCGTCGTCGCTGTTGTAGTTACACCTCGCAACGATCCGCCGGTTTTCAAAGAAACCAGATCAAACGTTCGTGACAACTCCTCGAAAGTCAAGGAGTTGCCCGTTGAATGTGCACCAGTGTTGACGAAGAGGGCTCGTCAAAGGCGCCGTCAACATCTCGCGCGTCAATTTGCCAAGGCTTTGGAGCCTGTTGATGGGATCTGCTATGATGCGGATCTGAAGCTCAGAAGGCGTAAAGTGTTCCAGCAACAAGCTTTGGGAACCTCCTCCCAACCACCTACTAATGAATGTGTTCGTGTCAAACGAACCCGTTCAACTCTTGATGAGCGCATCCATAAGCGCCGCGCACTGTTAGCGCAGAGGAGGATTCTTGTACGGAAGGCACAGGAATTGCAGAAGGAAAAGGTGGCAAAAAAACCACCAAGATCTAAGCAAGTCTGGATGCTAAAGGCCAAGTCAGCGTCTAAGAAAAAAGCATCCGAGGTTACTCTCCGGCCTTTGTCAATGTCAGATCCCACTCCTATTGCTCCCGCACCTCCGGTGAAGCTCTATGATAGCGTGGATCTCCCCAAATCTAGAGTCCTATTGAAGGATCGTGTTGGTGCCCTACCCGAGAATCGAGAAAAAACGCTTGTTAAGGAAAGCTTGAGATCGTTGAATGAGCTTCAAGCAAATATCCGGACTGGGGGTCGTACGCGACCTCCTAACAAAATGATTTCTGCAACGGCCCGCTTGGCGGTGCGTGCAGAAAATCAGGAGCCCGTTAAGGTTTCACCCTCACAAAGGTGTGATTCCAAACGTGTGACTCCTGTAGACGTCAACAAGGCGATATTTACTCAGAGGAAAACGCGTCAGACAGACGAACGCGTTATACCTGAGAATCCATGTACGTAGCCGGTAGATTACTCCGATCGCAACGTCGATGAGTTGTACTATCGGGCTGGGGGTACGAATAAATCTCGAAAGAGAAGTACCCGGGAAGCGGACTCTCACTGTTCGTGTATCGAAATTATCAGGGCAGTATTATCAACGTGTAGCTGCCCCAAGACCGCTTCGTAGAGGATCTCGGTGTTCGAGAGGATCTTCGATGGAACAACGAAGCCCAGATCAAGGCGTTTCCACCAAAGAGGACCGGTTTTTCGAGATGATGAATTCCCAGAAGTTACCATCAACATGGTCAATAAGGGAAAATCGCCGATTGTTTCAAGTGGTTCCAACCCTAATTTCTCTCTAGGAAGAAGAGTCAGTTCGGAAATAACCCAACGAATATCTCAGCTTCAGCTAGAAACCGATGGACATGATGATTACCAGGGCGTCCGTGAAGGAATCCATTCCGATGACGAATTCTCGGATTCTTATTCCGTAATCGCCTCTGACGATACAACGTCTAGCATAGGACAAGCTCGGAAAGTGTTCATGATCAACACCGAGCAAATAGCCAAAATCATTGAGGATGCTCTAGCCAAGCAGAAAGAAGCATTCAAAATCGAAATGAAAATGGCTATGCAGGAGATGAGACAAATGCACGACCAACAAATTCGAGCTTTGTCGAATCAGCTAGGTGAGTCTAGCCGTCGCAACACTGCTAACCAAGCATGTAGCGATTCAGATGTGGATGAACACAACGCTGGGGGTGATCCCACTAAGGACAATAATACTGGGGGTGGTCCCACCAAAGATGACAATGCTGGGGGTGGCCCCGTTATTACTCTCAAGAATTGTCCAAAACAGGATATAGATGAGTACGAAAAGATGAAGGACATCGAGAGCAAAATCGACGCCCTGATGTCTGCTCGAGAGGTGAAGAAGACCGGGATTCCGTGTCCTTACCCAAGAGAATGGGAATTGATCCCGTATCCGGCGAAGTTCAACCTGATCAACTTAACGCCGTTCGACGGGAAGGGTTCCCCCACTCAGCACCTGATCTATTTCAAATCCCATTTGGGAGTGATCTCTGGCAACGAACCTCTGATGGTCCGGTCATTTGTTGGCACCCTTCGTGGGCCCGCCTTCGATTGGTACCGCCGTCTCAAGCCCGGAAGCATCAACAGCTGGGAGGACCTGGAGAGCATGTTCTTCGCTCATTTCTTCG